TCAGAGTAAGGAGTAGCGGGTGGTCAGAGTAAGGAGTAGCGGGTGGTCAGAGTAAGGAGTAGCGGGTGGTCAGAGTAAGGAGTAGTGGCCATTGTTTTTAGCAGTTAGTAAGTCATTAGTGAGTTTTAGGAGGGCGGAGTCAGTGGAGTGTTGGGGGGCGAAAGCCGGACTGTAAGGGATCAATGAGATTGTTATCAGCGAGGTGGCGGCTCAGGCAATTGTAGGCGAGGCATTGAAGGAGTTTGGAGGTGAATGGGAGTAAGGAGATTGGTCTGAGATTGTTGAGGTCCGTAGGGTCCAGTGAAGGTTTTTTGGGTATTGGGGTGACCAGGGCATGTTTTAGTAGAGAGGGAAAGATTAAAGATGTGAGTCAGAGAGCGTAGGATAGAGTAAGAAGGTGAACAAAGTAGTGGTGAGGGAACAGGGCACATGGATAGGGGAAGGTGACTGCACAGTGGCCATTTCACCTCGGATTTTTTAGGAGGGCGGAGTCAGTGGAGTGTTGGGGGGCGAAAGCCGGACTGTAAGGGATCAATGAGATTGTTATCAGCGAGGTGGCGGCTCAGGCGATTGTAGACGAGGCATTGAAGGAGTTTGGAGGTGAATGGGTGTAAGGAGATTGGTCTGAGATTGTTGAGGTCCGTAGGGTCCAGTGAAGGTTTTTGGGTATTGGGGTGACCAGGGCATGTTTCAGAGGGGATGGAAAGATTCCAGTAGAGAGGGAAAGATTAAAGATGTGAGTCAGAGAGCGTAGGATAGGGGAAGGTGACTGCACAGCGGCCATTTCGCCTCGGATTGCATGTATTTTGTTTTTGAAATGAATGGCAATGTCCTGGGCAGTGAGTGAGTTAGCGGGTGGTGGGGGGGAGGGGCGGGGGACATAGTAAAGAGTTAAAAGTAGAAAACAGTTGACGAGGTCTGGATGAGAGTGTGATAATGAGAGAGACGAAATAAGTCTGTTTGGCAGCATGGAGGGAGGAGTTATATTTTAGGAGGGAGGAGTTATATTTTAGGAGGGAGGAGTTATATTTTAGGAGGCCAGCTTTGTACAGGGTGAAGTCTTGCAGAGACCCAGTTTCACGCCACACTCGCTCCAGAGTGCAGCCGTGTCTCTTGAGGTTTCTGGACATATGGAATATATTATATAAACATGGAGTGCAGGGCTTAGAAATTCATGTCATGGAGAAGTCTCATCTCATCACATCCTCCTCTGTCTGTCCTGTGTCAGTTTGTAGCTCCACCATAGAGTGGAATTCTGACACTCGTCACATTGATGGATCGGGTCCCCCTGCAGAACAGGCTTAGGACCTTCAATTTAAGTGGCAGAGTGATTCCTCTACAGGAGCCCGATATATGTCCCACCAACTGCTCTCCTCCCCACCCCACACCCTGTGACCCCGACACTGACCCGTATGGTTTCCTCCTTCACAGTGGCCAAGCTGGAGCCGCGTTCCTCACAGTCTTTAGCACTTTCTGTACGGGACTTCTGGATCTCAGAGAAGAGATAACATGTGTCATTGATGGTGATCCAGAGATCCGGACATCTAGGAGGCCGTCCTGTAATATGGAGTAATAGAGACCTTCAATAATGACAGAGAGAGGGCGGGACAGTCTGAACATATAATGTTCAGCATAATTGTCAGGGTCCCGGGCACAGGTGTCCCCACACCGCATGCAGGTACCCACGCAGGCAGACCAAATTAGTGTGACCACACTGGATGAGGTTATGCACACAGTTTATTGTTACACAGCAAACAGGAAACTACAAACCCCACCAAGACCCACAAGCTAGCACAAGCAGTGAAACGACAAAACTCAAATAGAACAAAAACACAACTACAGTCACAAGGAACAGCAAACGGGAACAGAGTCTTGTATAGATCACATTTCCCTTCTCTTCCCTCCCTGTCGGTTGCTCTTTGCGTATCATTATTTGTGAGTTCAGGTTGTAACGATTTGGTAAACGTCACCCCATTTTACGTATGCATTGTGTATAGAACTGTAATATGAGTATTTGAGCACTTGGTCCCCGGCCGTAGATAAAAGGTTTATTTGGTCTTTATGGGCCCTCTATATGCAGGTTTAATAGAGTGATGCTTTGGTGGTGTGTGAAATATTTTCGGGGTGTCAGTCCTCCATGTTTTTTATTTGTGATTTCAAAATGAAAACCTTTTGTATCTCATAGCAGTGGCAAGTTTTGGTTTCCCTTTCTGATGTCATTGACCCTGGGGTAGCGCACCAATACTTACTTTAAATAAGCAAAACTATCATTATTTAATGCAGGGTAACCTTACTGAAAACCATATAGCTCATTCTATGGTACTTAACCCCTTCTGCTTATTGTCATCAGATGCAGATTAACCACCACTTGCCTTTGCCTGCCCACCACCTGCCATTGAATGGACCTTCCCTACTAAAAGCTATATGTAGCCGCAAAGCTCCACTAGCCCCTCCCCATCTTCAGAGATTGGCTGCTGAAATGTTTAAGCCCCGCCTGTAACAATGACTGCATTGTATTGGTAAATTGTATATGTAATGTTACAAACTATGTATATTGAGAAGTTACATTGTCATTTCCCCTAGTCTAGGTGGTGTGTTATACAAGGTATTCCTATTGGGTCTTTCTTGTTTTTATGACACAGTAAAGTGTTCTCTGTTCTGATTGGTGAATTCATGACATTAAATTGTACCATAACTTCTTTTGGAACATATGTGGAAAGCATTGACTACTTGTAAGGTATCCAGGTCTACTGTGCATGTGCGTGGTCCCATCTTTCATACCATAGGAAAACGGGCACTTGCGCGCATGCATGCGCATCAGGACGTACGCGCACAAGTGCGCTAATCTGGCGCACAGACGTGCTAATCTGGCGCACAGGAAGTGATGCTGTACCTCTCAATTGATCTTCCTATTTAAAGCAAGCACAGCCTGGGCTTAGCTGCTGGATGGTCTTTCAGCTGTTCCCTGTGATCCTGTTTGCTGCTCCTGTATCTTGACCCGGATTGAATTTTTTTACTGCTCCTGATTGCCGCCTGCCTTCTGTCCTTGGTGTCACCCCATCCACTGGCACCCGCTTCACTTGCTGTTTCTCAGGCTCTGTTCTCATCCTCAGAGTTTGGGGGACGCAAGGTGCAAGGGGAGCCTCCACATCCAACCAGTCTCCAGCTTGTACGTGATACAAATGGTGGTCCTCCAGTGCAGACTGGCGGAACGGATGTAGGAGGGTACAGCTGGCTCTGCCTCTAGATAGGCAGAGCCAGCTGTCAATCATGCAGCTGGGCGGATCTCCAAAGTAATGTTGGGATCCGTCCCGGCTGCGGCATCTCAGTATATTGCAGGCAATAGCCCGCTATATACTGAGCTTTGGGTCATGGGAGAAGGCTAGTTTGTGTTCTCCTGTGACCCTAAAGAGAACTATGGGGAAAAACACTGACCCCATAGTTCTCCTTTAAAGCCGATTACTTCTACAAGGTAATATCTTACTTTTTTGTAAATACATTAGATACACACCGAGTGAAGTATTTGATTGATGTGGGTCATTGGTCGAATTTTTGTCTTTTCCGCCTGGAAATTAAAGCAAAGACATAATCCAAATCATCTCCATACTGAACCTACAAATGAGACACAAAAGACAGACGGGCACCACATCCCAGCTACCCTCACCCAGCATTCTACTGCTCCTCATACACGGACACATCATCTCTACTTACATGTGGCACCCAGAGAGATGGCGGTTATCAGGAGACTCACACAGATGACGATAAGCGCACAGACCAGGAGAATCGCGTGTCTTCTGCCTGGAAGGGAAAACATCAAAGTCTACTAATAAGGTGTAACACATCCATTGTCACCTTGTGTGGGGGGATGTCTCTCTGCTCTGACATGTCCGTTGTCACCTTGTGTGGGGGAATGTCTCTCTGGCCTGATATGTCCGTTGTCACCTTGTGTGGAGGAATGTATCTCTGGTCTGATATGTCTGTTGTCACCTTGTGTGGGGGAATGTCTCTCTGGTCTGATATGCCCGTTGTCTCCTTGTGTGGAGGAATGCCTCTCTGGTCTGATATGTCTGTTGTCACCGTGTGTGTGTGTGTGGGGGGATGTCTCTCTGGTCTGATATGTCCGTTGTCTCCTTGTGTGGAGGAATGCCTCTCTGGTCTGATATGTGAAGTTCCAAATCTCCCCACTCTACTAAAAAATATTTTGGTTTTGCTTCCTGACAATAAATCTCACCAATGAGTGACACAGACAGCAGCAAATAGCTGACATAGGCACTAGTCAGTCCTAAGGACTCTGATGTAAAGGGGAATGTTGATATAAGGGGGAACTCTGGGCACTGATTCAGTGGTAGGCCTGGTCACTTTGCAGTAATATATTCCTGACCTTTATTTTCCTCATGGCACCTTCAGGAGTTTATATGTTCTGTGCGTGTATTCTGTGGATTTCCTCCGGAGGTTCTTCTTACATCTCAGAGTCCACAGTCAAATGGTCAGTTTAAAAGAACTCTAAGTAACAGCTGTTCTTCACCAGAGCTCCTGATAGTGGAGATGGGCCAAGAACACTAGTGGCCTCAGTTTGCTTTGCTGTGAACTGGTACCAGGTCATGATCATCGGGGGTTAGCAGGAATAGAAAGACTACAATGCCGAGACTATTCCGAAGGCTGCAGACAAGAGAGTAATCAGGCCCAGGCTGACGTATTGGCAAGCAAAAGAGTAGTCAGGTCCAGGCAGGGGTCGAGATAGGCAGCATTCAGCAGGCAAGGGATTAATCAGGTTTAGGCAGAGGTCTTGGCAGACAACAAGAAAGAGAATAGTCAGGCCCATGCAGAAGTGTCGCGAGTCACCCGCACTCCATACAGAACTATGACCTTGCAAGATGGTGGTGCTCGTAGTAATGACACGGATGGCGCCGTGTGAAACTCCAAAGTGAAGATCAGATAACCATCAGCAAGTCATCGTCACACTTTGTCATAAAAAGCCAACATATCGGGCCACTCAGGGTCCCTTCCTCAAGGTAAATTGGCCCCAGTGTGGGTAAGTATGCATGTGAGATATGGACCTTGGATTGTAAGCTCCTTCAGGGCAGATATTGATGTGAATGGGCTGTGTGTAAACCACAATGTAAATGGATATGAATTCTACCTTGCTGGGTCTTGTTGTCCTTCTGAGCTGACTTGTTGAGTTTATTGATAGCGGTGTACATGAATCCTTTATCTTCTTCCTTTGGAGAGACTGGGATAAAACGGAACATATAAATCCCCTATACGGAATAGTACGTCACACACTTATATTGAGCTGCCTGCTCTTGCTGGTACCCATAAACATCCTTTTAAACCTTTCGTGTTGTAATTTGCACCGCTTTAATAGGAGGTGCTTTGCACCTAGGACAAAGTCCTCACACACTGCCACCCCTGTGTAATTTGAATCCATAGTAAGCACCTCTATAGAGGTGTAACACCCTACTGGACAGAGTGCTATTAAATTTAGTAATTATCAGATTGTATGGGGTCTGATGCTGATTTGTAGTCTGGGTTCATTTGTTTTCCCCTAAACCATCTGTCATTTGCTGCTAGGTGTACTGCAGGGTGTACCTTGGTCACAGAACAGAGCAACTAATGAGGGATTGCTGAGTGGATATCCCTCTCCAGCCATTTACTGTTAGAAGATGGCCAGTGGTGCATGCTAGGGGAGGAGATAAATACAGTACTTGGGGTGGACTATGTGAGCTCCTCTCTTCCTCCCCCTCGCCCAGCCTGTAGGGAGGCTGCCATGGATTGTCTCAGATGGCTAGGCCTGAAGCCTTGGAGTAGCCATGGGATGACCCTGGAGCCTGATAGCAGCAGGTCCAGTGGTCATTACTGAAGACAAGGACTAGTAACTTCTACAGACTTGGATCGGCAGAGGGGGGTTGCAGACACTGAGCGGTTGGTCAGGAGGATGAGTCTAGCAGCTGCATTCATGATAGACTGAAGGGGGGAGGAGCCTGTGTAGAGGTCGGTCAATGAGGAGGGAGTTGCAATAGTCAAGGCAAGAGAAAACAAGGGAGTGAATGAGTAATTTTGCGACCCTACTACTCAAGAGGTTTATTACAGAGGAAATACAGGGAGACCCCTTAGTTCTTTTACTGTAGATCACCCCTTCAGAGCCACCGGTAGTGTTATCCTGTGCTGCGATATCACTGACCGCGTAAGAGGAACACAACAGAGGAAAGGAGGACAATATCCAAATATTTTATGATGTAAAATGTATTACTGGATTTGTACTCAGAATATCAAGCAGGATGTTATTGGAGTGTTTAGATAGAACAAGATCCCTGGGATATAAATACAGGTGCAGCATATCAAAGAGAAGCAGTCTGCACCTACTGTGAGCTCCTCTGGGGTGGAGCCTGATGTCAGCTGCCATTGCTGAACTTTGACTTACTTGGCTGACCCTCTGGTTTTAGTACTTTTTGGTTTATTGAACAAGCAGACGGGTATTGAATCCAGAGGGTCAGCTCGATAGTCAGGCAACTAGGATTTTGATCTCCTGGCTTTCATTTATCTAGAACAATGACATAATATTTTTCTATCACTTTTGGATGGGAGGGGGGAGGGAGGGTTAGGTTTTTATTGCTAAACCTGCTAGGAGTATTCACTCTCTGGAACAAAAAATGGCAACAGAATGATGGGAAAACCAACATCTTCCAGTTGTCTCCAGAACAGAAATAGAGGAGAACTCTTCCAATAGGGATATCTGTTCCAGTGCCAACTGTCTAAAAGAGAACTTCCTTCACTTTGTAGGCATATTATCTCACTTCCTTTATTGTCTATTAAACAGGAAGTTAGGGGAAATCTCCTAAAAGATGCCACTGGTGGAGGTTCTAATACTTCCCTAATCTGTACAAAGCCAAAAGCTGAGTGTTTGGAAGACGAGTGTTGTGCTGTGGGAGGTGTTCAGCCCCCGGCTCTCATTATCACATTCACTTGTACAATTTCCAGTCATATGGAAGTTCTACCTTCCTCTGTCTTGGCCACTTTTTTGTTGCTCTTCTCTGCTGCTTTCTTGGGTTTATTAACCAAGGCGTACAACAGTGAGACATCATCTGCCTGTGGAGAGACTGAAATGACAAAACACAGTGAGGAACCAATAGAGATATCAACCAGAGTGTCTGTGGTTGTTTATAGACTTAATAACAACACTCAATGCCAAGCTTCAGTTTTTAAAACCACCAAAATCTTTATTTGTATAAAAGAAGTATACACTCCAGAGAGAGAGATGTAATCTGCCCTATGCAAAGCATTAGTAAGACCTCATCTGTCTCCATTCTTCCTTGTATTATAAGAAGTATAGACTCCAGAGAAAAAGATGTAATCTGCCCTATGCAAAGCATTAGTAAGACCTAGCTTATCTCTATCCTTCCTTGTATTATAAGAGGAATAGACTCCAGAGACAGAGGCATAATACTCCCTATACAAGGCATTAGTAAGACCTCATCTGTCGCCATCCTTTCTTGTATTATAAGAGGAATATACTCCAGAGAGAGAGGCATAATCCTCCTTATACAAGGCATTAGTAAGACCTCATCTGTCTCGGCCCTTCCATGTGTTATATGAGGTATAGAGTTCAGAGAGAGAGATGTAATCTGCCCCAGTACAAAGCATTAGTAAGACATCATCTGTCACCTACCAATTCCCACATAGAAGTATCTAACCAGGGAAGGTTAGGGAAATACCAAAGGACAGAGCTCCTCTAACTGCCACGTTGTGAGGGTCCTGACAACAAATACGGCTCTCAATAACCCTTTAACAGCTGCTGATATTAACCGCTTGCCGTCTGCCCGTTGCAAAAAACGGACGGATGGCACAGTCACATTGGCGGGTCACATTGCAAAAAACGGACGGACGGCACATTTTTTCTGCTCGCGCGCGCGTGCCCCCCAGCGTGCGCACGGGCAGAAAAAACCCGCCCGATGTAAAAAGCCGTTACCGGCTGTTTCACATACACGCGATCGGCGCCTCTATAGCCTGCCGATCGTGTGTATGTGCTGGCTGCGTGACCCCCTCTTTCCTTCAAGTGCCGCCGCCGCCCCCCCCCTCCTGACCCCTCACCTTCAATACCGGGATGCACTGCCCCATCTGCGGCCCGGGACTGGCTCGGGAGGGTGTCAGAAGGTAAGATGGGAGGGGGATCAGAATCTTCCTCCTTGCCGATCTCCCTCCGTGCTGCGAATGCAGAAGTGATGTGTAATACATCACTTCCGCATTCTCCTGTCAGTCATGTGGCTGCTATAGCCAGATAGAAAAAGCTGATGAAGTAGATCTCTGCTTCATCAGCTTCTTTTGGGGTCCCCAGGTGACATTAGGGGTCTTAGAAACCCCTAATGTCTCCATAAAGAGGACCTGTCAGTGTGTCTTCACTATTATATAGGGGGATTGTTATCCTTTATGTGATAGCAATAACAATAAGGGTAAAAGAACATAAAAAGAGTTTAAAAAAAAGTCACATATAAAAAAGTAAAAAATAATCCCCAAACATTTTTAAGTCCCCCACATTTATGCACAAATAAACGACAGTTGCGCTACACATGTTACATATCGTCGCGAACGTCAGAGTGAGAACAATAATTGTAGGGCCATCAGTCACTGATAACACTAAACTGATGAGCGGTAAAAGCTTTTAAAGCCTCGACTATGGCCAATTTTGGGTATTGTAGTTTTTTGAGGTTTGGCGAGCGCACGCATTCTTAAGGCTTGACATGTTTGGTGTCTATTTACCCGACGTGACCCCGACTTTTATATTTTACCCACAAATTGGGTAATAATAAATGTTTTATCATTTAATATAGGGAAACAGTTTTTTTTTAAAACTAATTCAGTATTTTTGTCTTCTTATAGTAAAAAATAAAACCCCCAGTGGTGATTACATTCCACCAAAAGAAAGCTCGATGTGTCCCCAAAAAACGGTATAAAATTTGTTTCAGTAAAGCGCTGCATGACGGAATAAATGTCAGTCAAAGTACCGCAGCGCTGAATACTGAACAATGGCCTGGACAGGAAGGGGGCGTAACACCGCGGACTTCAAGTGGTTAATGTGATATTTCATGCATCTGACTTATTCTACAAGAGGGCTCCGGGACTGAACCTGCATCATATAAAAACACACGAATGGAGACTTCACCTTGTTGGGTCTTGTTAGACTTTGTCGTCTTCTTTTCTTCTCTTGGCTGGTTCTTCACAGCTGCATAGGTGACCACGTCTTCCTTCTGCACAGAACCTGGAATGGTAGAGAAGGCAGAAACTCATTTCACATTTTCCCATCATTCACCCGGCTCCCCTCTATCCAGGACTAGCAGCCATGTAACAACCAATGAGGTAACAGGACTTATTTCATAGACTCCCACGTCTATTAGATTATCAGCTTCTGCAGAAAGAACTTGTCAGCTGTGAAGCTTTGATTATAACACATCTTACTATTTGTACTATGTTCATGTTCTGATTGAAAAAAGACTAGAAATAAAGATATTGGGGGTGACTGTGGGGATCACCATCATCTCAGAGTAAAAGGGAAGGGGGGCATTGATTGAAGGAGAACTATGAGGGAGTGATTTTCACTCAGCCTCATAATTCGAGCCGATCTGTGACAATGAAGCTGTCACAGGTCGGCTCAGTAGATCGGGAAGTGAGCGAACACATCCCGGTGCTCGCTCACTTCTCGATCCTGTCCCTGCAGAGAGCTGTGACTGTCACTCACGGCTCCCTGCAGGGATTCCCCCCTCCCCTGTCCGATCCTCCAGCGCTGACTGGCGGAACGGACGGGGGAGGGAGTGGGTACAGCTGGCTCTGCCTCTAGATAGGCAGAGCCAGCTGTCAATCACGCAGATGAGTGGATCTCCACAGTAATGTTGGGATCCGTCCCGGCTGCGGCGTCTCAGTATACTGCGAGCTGCAGCTCCCTATATACTGAGCTTTGGGTCAAGGGAGGACACTAGTTTATGTCCTCCCATGACCCTGAGGAGAACTATGGGGAAAAACACTGACCCCATAGTTCTCCTTTAAGCAGGGAATAGATACCCACTGAAGAGTGTCACGGTACTGTCAGAATTTGAATTCAGATCTCATTGTTGAGGTGATGTTGGTCAAGCTGTTGTCACCAAGCCCAGCTCACACTGCAATGTAGGTCTTTTCTGGGCTCTGTGCAGTAATCATTTGTCTTAATTAATTCTATGTCAGTTCCCCTTTAATTAGATCTACAGATCTTAAAAAGCCGCTCTTAGTGTCAGAAGCTTCCAGATCATTCCTCTGTCTGTTCCACCCCTTGCTTCAACATTCTTATCTAATGTCCGTTTCCTCGTTGTTGACCTTGTATTCTCACTATATGGCCATCGTACTTTGGCCTTAATGCTTTCACAATGTCTTTCTCAATGTAAAATCCCATCACGCACACGAGCAAGGTGTTGGTCTTCCTCTGGCCATACACTGCTGGCTGATTCTACTAATTTGCTACTTAAAGGAGAACTATGGGGTTAGCGCTTTTTCCCATTAGGGTAACGGGAGGACACAAACTAGCGTCCTCCCGTCACCCAAAGCTCAGTATATAGCGGGCTACAGCTCGCGATATAGTGAGACACCGCAGCCGGGACGGATCCCGACTTTACTGTCGAGATCCACCCAGCTGCGTGATTGACAGCTGGCTCTGCCTATCTAGAGGCAGAGCCAGCTGTACCCGCCCCCTCCCCCGTCCGTTCCGCCAGTCAGCGCTGGAGGATCGGACAGGGGAGGGGGGAATCCCTGCAGGGAACCGTGGGTGACAGTCACGGCTCTCTGTAGGGAAAGATATCGAGAAATGAGCGGGGGACGGTATGTGTTCGCTCACCTCCTGATCTACTGAGCCGACGTGTGACAGTTTCATTGTCACAGGTCGGCTAGAACTATGAGGTGAGTAAAAATCATTCACCTCATAGTTCTCCTTTAACCAAGACCGTCATATACCATTTTTACTCTGTGCTGTGTGTCCTCGGCTCTGCTCAGCTATCTTACCTCAATCACTGGAGAGTTCAGTAATGAGAGTGTCAGGCAGCAGATCCATCCTCACCTTCAGAGTCTTTGGAGCAGGTTGGGTGCTTGAGGGTTCCGGGGGCTCTGCCAGTTTACAATGTAAGCTCTTTCTCTTGTTAAGGTCTGAGTGTGAACGGTTTCATTGTATGGCCATCTTTCTCCATGCGAAATCCCATCACACATGTAGCAAGCTTCACATAGGACCATACTACGCCTGTAAGGTCCCAAGCAAGCTCAGATAAGAGAACATTTTACAGTAGAGATGAACTTCAGGCCAAGCTTGAGGTCTAACCAAAGCAGAGCTGTTCATAGCCAAATGGGCAAAAGGCCAGATTTGGTTCGTCTGACGGCCCTCCAAAGCTACAGCTGCTCTTGCAGTCATCCATGTAGTGGCAGCATTACTACCACCATTGAATGGTAGAATCCTGGAAATGTTATTGGCCAACTATGGTTATGACTATATGTGGTCAATGATGTCAGCCAACATCCTCGGCGAGAATTTCATCAGCCAACTGAGAAGCTGTTCATTGTGACTAACAATGGGTCTACATTGCTGGGTGGCTGGTGTTGGTTTTACATCATGGAACACTTTTGGCTTTTGTTTGGATTAAAAAAATTTCTAAGGTGTCTTTGTGTTTTTTCCCTTTCCATCTACCTCCCCATTAATCATTAATGCAGGCATGTGGCTTACTATGGATCTTACTATGGAGGGGGGATGCACACTTGCTGCCCCCCTTTCATTTGTCTTCATAAGGGTCTGGTATGGATTTTGGGGGAGACCCCATGATATTTCTTTTGCTTGGGGTCTAACTTAAAAATCCATACCAGACCCCTATCTACGATAATGGTCTGGTATGCCATTTTGTTTCTATATAATAGATAAAGTAAACCTGTGCCCTGACTATGCATTTGCATATTTTGTACAAACAGTAAAAGCACTTTACTATAAGCCCCCACTGACCACTGTGGCTATAGTCATTGTGTAGAAATCCCTCTTCAAACTTGAAGACAAAGCACTGAGATCCCAGACACCCTCCGTCTCAGTGGGCTGCCAAGGACACTAATATACTAATTGAGTTGAGTTGAGTGGCAAGGTAGGTCCTTCAGCAAAGTGCACCTGGCGGGGGGTTTAGAACAAGTGGCAGTGCATTGCACCCATGTATGTAACATGCTTTGTCACAGCAGTAGTGTGAATGGGACCTAAATGTCTCTTTTAGCTTTACAATATTTTATAGCCGTGGTTCTCAACTGGTGGGTCACAACACCCATGTTCAGTGGGTCACCTCGTGCCTTCCACTGTGCTAGGTGAGAGGATCCTCATTCTCCCCCTAGGGCAGCACTGTCAGTTCTCATGCCGAGCAGCCATTCAAAATATGCTGCCCGGCACCAAGTGTCAGATTGAAGTGGGGTTGGCTGGGGGTATGGTTGTGACCATATGTGCATTGCTTACAGCTTTGTAGAGGGGCCTGGACCGGAGTGACATCACATTCTGGCTCCCGGGACCTCTACAGGGCACACAATTGAGCTGTACAAACAATGTACATATGGATGGAGCTCCATCACAGCACAGCAGCCCACACTGGACCCCAGGCTGAGGATCCGCTCCAGTTCTCGTAAGGTAGGGCAGGGGTGCCCACAATTTTTGTGTTAAGATCTACTTTTCAAATGACGAGCTACATGAGATCTACCAATGAAAAAAAACTCCCTCGCTCTTTCTCTCTCCTGGCTGTCTCTCCTCGTTTTTTTCCCTTGCTGTCTCCTTGCTCTTTCTCCTGGCTGTGTCTCCTCGCTCTCCTGGCTCTCTCTCCTCGTTTTTTTCCCTTGTTGTCTCCTTGCTCTCTCTTTCCTGGCTGTCTCTCCTTGCTCTCCCTACCTTGGCTGTTTTTCCTCTCTCTCCTGGCTGTCTCTCCCCGCTCTCTCTCTCTCTCTCTCTCTCCTGGCTCACCTTGCTGTATTTTTCTGTGTAAATTAATATTCTTTGATGTAATACAGAGCACTACAACCCCCAGTATCCACCAGAAAGGTGTCAGGGAGCTCGGCTCAGCAGACGCAGGCTAATAGGTAATCATATGTGCACAGCTAAATAAAGGGGCCGCCGTTCCCCCCCTTCCTGATCTACCAGCATCCGCTTTGGGAGCTACTGCTAGATCACCATCTACCTAATGGGCCCCCCTGAGCTAGGGAGACTGGGGGGATCCTAAAAAAAGAAATCCAAATGTAAAAACATTTTGGAGTGTGTACTGTATGTTTTGTGTGATTTATAGATTGCAGATCTGAGGTACAATCCTACTGAATGTTACGCAGCAGAACGTGTTACAATGTATCTCAGCCCGTCTGTAACATAAAATCTTCTCACCAACAAAAGGCAAAAAGACGTTGCTGTGTTATCTCCTCTATTATTATTTGTCAGGCTCTCTCCCATTGAGGGGCAGGAGGCTGATATCTCATCTGCATAAATCTCAATGTAACAACAAAACCCATTGACATGAGAGAGAGAGAGCAGACAATAGTATTTGTATACTTCTAACCAGACTGATCTGTGAAGGATTTGTATAAACCTCCAAATGATGAACAAATATTCCATTTCCATCCGCAGTCTATAGACGGCTCTGGAGACCATATCATACCCCATCCTCCAATAATCAACAATGAGCAGATTGACCCTGTGCATGTAATCAATGTAGAGACACAGAGCAGATGGATCCTTGTATAGAATTTGCCTCTTCCCAGGATTTGCTACCCCTAGGATCCCCTCCCCCATGATTTGACCCCCAGGATTCTCTTATTACCTGATAAGATTCTTGAATTGTGTTTTTTGGTGAAATTCATTTCGGAGTAGGTGATGGCATCCCCCATGTTTGGTGTCTGCTGAGAAGTGAGATTGTATAGGGAAGTAATCCCCGGTATATGAAAGTGATATACAGCGGATGTGCCCTGTACACAGCTGTGTGTTCCAGTGACGGAACCTCCCAATAAGAGGCCCTGTGCTTGTCAGAGCTCTGCAACATCCACAGACCACCCGAGGATTCCGCCCCACGCTGTGCCAGTCTCAGGTGGAATCAGTTTTTACTCCATGTACAATAATAATAATAATAATAATAATGCAGCTTTTTAATGGCAAACAGATACATTTATTATTTGCAGCAGTTGCACCCACTCCCTGTGACCAGTCACTGTGTCTACTCTCTGTACCAGTCACTGTGTCTACTCCCTGTGACCAGTCACTGTGTCTACTCTCTGTACCAGTCACTGTGTCTACTCTCTGTACCAGTCACTGTGTCTACTCCCTGTGACCAGTCACTGTGTCTACTCTCTGTGCCAGTCACTGTGTCTACTCTCTGTGCCAGTAAAACAGCAAAAAGTTTTTCTGGCACACTCACCAGCCATCATGTAAAAAAACTTGTCTCACCTGTCTCAGGTTAATAACAGAGGTTTATATACGCGTCTTCTGCAGAAAATGTGAAAGGCGCACAGCCGCGCCAAGGCACCTCTTATAGTGCGGTCCTAACTCTAACCTATGAGAGTCTCCATCTTGGAGCACATGGGGCAGAAGATATCAAATTGGGTGCAGGTTTGTCAGGAGGAAGCCCAACCCCCCTTAAAGGAACAGGAAAATGTCAGAGGAAGGACAGACTCCTCGCTCATATGATCCGGCATGTTCAGTACAGTCAGTCTAAGAGTCAGGTAAGGCCCGGCCATCCTATCTGAGATCTCAGCGTGCTCTGCAAACACAGAGTCATGGAAGAATACTTTATTAAATGTGTATTTTACTATAAACATTTTACACAACAAAATAAAGAAATATATAACAAATCGGATTATAACATTGTAATCTGAAATAAAATTGACATAAACATCTACAGTTCCCGATCCCTTCCCACCGGGTGTATGGACATCTGTTCCATTGGTGGAAATCATATGTACTATGCAAGGTGTACAGGGAAGGAGGCCATGCGTCTGGGATTTTATTTGTATCCTTTATTTGTTGTATAATTCTGTCTTTAGTTCAGAAATGGAGATTGTCGCTGAAGCCTCCGTGTCCTGGGCACCTGGAGGGGACCAAAGACCGGCCTCCTCCCCACTGATTATGAATTTTGGCCTAGAAAGGGGTTCTGTTATAGGGAGGTGGGTACAAGAGAGCCATTGGGACTACCTCTCCCCCCTGGTATGGGGTGGCACGTTCCCCCAATTACTAAAGACTGTGTGGACTATGGAGCTTGTTATAGGAGGCCATCTGAGCAGCCAGAATCCATGTTTCACAAACCCTATCACCCAGTTCTGAACTGACGGTGACCATTGGTAATGCAGCAGCACACAAGGGGATAACTCTGGACCTGGACTCCTATTTACATTGTTAAAGTCTGGTTGTCCATTTGTGTGATTGTGTTAATCATGGGAGTAACATAACTCTGACACTAGGTCAGTGATGGCGAACCTTTTTCAACCCGAGTGCCCAAACTGCGACGCAAAATCAATTTATTTACCTCAAAGTGCCAGCGCTGAAAAAAAGTTTAGTATTGTATTGCAGTTCGGGGCGCTCGGGTGTAAGAAACGTTCAACATCACTGCCTTAGGCCCCATTCACACCAAGCGACATACCTTACAAGGGGATCCGCGCGGCCGGGATAGCGCGACTGTTCGGGGCGACTTTCCAGCGACGATCGTGCGACCTTCACCGTCGGGCTGCATTCAAAAATAGAAAAATTACGTGACATCAGCGGGAGAAAAAGGGTCCTGCTGAAGCGACAGCGACATGGAGCTGTACATTACAACAGCTCCATTGAATAACATTGGCTGGCGACTTCTCGCGATATCGCGCAGTGTGAATGGGGCCTTAGGCAAAATAGGGAAACACTCATATACAAACATTTATACACTTAATAAAACACATACACACTTAATGAAACACACACACATTACACACACACACAGAAATACTAATAAAAATGAATAAATAAAACATTGCCCCTCTCCTGCTTACCTGTTTTGCAGGGAGGTGGGCTGCATCCCTGGGGTCTCTCATCCATGCATCTCTCATGGGAGGGCTGTGCGGCTCTCAGGCAGGGGGGCTGCATGGCTGGGGGGGCTGTGCAGCTCCCGGGGGGAGGGCTTGTATGGCTCTCAGGATGGGGGGGCTGTGCGGCTCCCAGGGGGGAGGGGAAGGTTGTTTTGCTCTCAGGAGGGGAGGGGGTAAGGCTGTGCGGCTCTCCCGGGGGATCCGAACGTCTCGGATCGCCTCTGTAGTCGGGCCGGTCACAATCAGGCAGCAGTGACCTCTAAACAGGCAGATTAGACGGCCGCTCGTGGGGGCCTCCCGGGGGCCTAGCGAGGAGGAATCGGCCGTCTAATCTGCCTGTTTAGAGGTCACTGCTGCCTGATTGTGACTGACCCAGATCGCGTACTGAGGCGATCCGGGTTGGTCGGATCTATTTCCATTTGTGGTCCCTGAACATGGGCTCCCGTGCCAGCAGAGAGGGCCCCGCATGCCATAGGTTCGCCACCACTGCACTAGGTGTATCTGAGTCAATAAACATACCACGGACACTCAGGAAACAGGTCATCTCATTATACTTGTTATTGTTTGTGTCTTATTTGTACTCACCTCATTCTGGGTACATAGTTTGGCTATTCGAACCATCAAGGCTTAAAGGGAAGACAGTTGATAGGGCTCCGGACTTCCAGGCACTGGGGAGGGATGTTTGCTTTTATTATTGAATGTTTTGATTGTATTATTTTTTTTACCCCTCCAGAACTGTACCAGTGCTGTGCCGGGTCTCAATAAAGCTAGTTCTTCTCTACCCTAAACCACACCATGACTGGTTCCAGGGATGAACTGCACAACCCTACATCACGCATTCGGGCTAATTGCTGGGTGTAAAGGCTATAATAACTGGGATCAGGAGGTGATGGAAGACTGTGGACTGGCTTGATAGCGAGAGGAAGCTGTGACCTTAGAGGATATGCCCAGCTGGGGTAACGAGATCCTTTACAGAGATATTAAGCTCCGCCTTCCTTTTAATTCTGGGTGTCCCTGGGAGGTTAGGTTTTGGTATCACTCTGATGTGATGAAATGCTCTCCCCTCCCCCCCATAGATATATTCCATTATAAATTATTACAAACACTCTCAGTTGGGGTCGGTGTGAGAAAAGTTTCCTAGAAGATTACAGGGGTCAGTGTATGTATAATGGGGTCAGTGGTTTTAATGCTCAATAAACATGAAAGAGTGAAAAATAATTTACAACAATGGATTCATTTAAATTTCAGAACAATCACAAGTAAACAGTGCGGTCACTCAGTGTCTCTCTCACAGATGTTATGTAGTAGGGCAGTGACGGAACTACCGCCATAGCGACCCATGCGGGTGATATGGGGCCTGCGACGGAGGGGGGTCGGGTCAGGAGCAGGGCTTACAATCCTCCCGGGTCCCACCATAGGCGCGCACACTATACTTTTGTCCAAGTGGGAAGTGGAAGGGACGGGCCGACGGGCCGTAACACTCAGTCTCCGCAACTCTGGACATTGTAAGTGGAGACAGCCGAATGGTTGGTGTCAGACTCCTGCTGCCTTCTCTGGATTGGTCAGTGAGAAGAGTGAGCACATGGTATGGAGGGAAGAACGTGATGCGGCATTGGACGGGGGGACATCGAGGAGGGGACAGAGGTAGGGAAACATCTGCAGTCATCTGGTCATGGGGCTTAAAATTGAGGCGTTGTGTTATATTGTTATATTTAGAATGGCTCTGCGCATATTCATACGGCCGAATATGCTCGGGCAACCGCTCCTGTGGAGCCTTAGGGCTTGTTCGCACCAATTACAGTGCATTCCAGAGTGGTTGCTGCTGGAAAGCACTGTATCGCAGGCTAAACTTGCATAGGAAGGCTGCCATAAGATGACTCCCATAGGAGATATGCCATAGGAGGACTCCTATAGGAGAGCTACCATAGGAGTACTCTCATAGGAGATTTGCCAAAGGAGGACTCCCTGTCAGGGATACCGGCACAGGTGACCACACACCTGCGCAGGTACCCACACAGGCAGACCAAACACGTGACCCCACAGGACAAGGCAGAATATATGATATACAGTTTTAATATGCCAACCAGAATAATACAAACAGAACAAGTCTTAGCAACCAGCTACATCTAAACAACACCACATGCAAGAAGAAACAGGCAAGCACACCCAGGGAGCAAAGCAAAACACCAGGGGAACCAAGGGACGAAAGGTCAGGGTACAAGGAGCTAACAGGACTCAGGAACATAAACAGGTCACGGTTCTGGACAACAAGCAGGGAACATACACAGGATACAGGACTCGGGAACAGCAGCAGGTTACAGGACTGGGGACTCAGGCTTAACTGGAAACAATACTGAGCCCCAGACCTTACTGCAGGGAGGGCTTAAGTAACCTCCCAAGGAGCACCAGGTGGTGGATTGGTGGCAGCTGGGAGACACCCGCAGGTGAGCACTGGAGTTGCAGTTTCCAGCACCACCCAGTGGAGGTCTGGTACCTAGCAGTTCCTGGCTGCCTGGAGACCCCCGCAGGTGAGTACGGAAACTGCAGGGCTTAGCTCCAGCGCCACCTGGAGGCGCTCTGGATCCTAACACTCCCATATGTGGGCTGCCATTGGAGAACTTCCATAGGAGAGCTGCTGTATCAGGACTCGACTAGGGGACATGCCATAGGAAGACTCCTATAGTAGAGCTGCCATAAGTCGACTCCCATAGGAGATCTGCCATTATTGACTCCCATAGAAGGACTCGTATAGGAGAGATATCATAGACGGACTCCCATAGGAGATCTGCCATAAGAAGATCCCCATAGGAGGGCCCATATAGGAAAGCTACTATAGGAGTTCTATAGGAGAGCTGCCATAAGTGGACTCCCATTGGAGATCTGCCATAAGTGGACTCCCATATGAAAGCTGCCTTAGGAGGACTCCCATCAGAGAGTTGCCAATGGAGGACTCCCATCAGAGAATTGCCAATGGAGGACTCCCACAGGAGAGCTGCTGTAGGAGGACTCCAATAGGGGACATGCCATAGGAGGACTCCCATAGGAGATCTACCATAGGAAGACTTCTAAAGGAGAGCTACCATGGGAAGACTCCCAAAGGAAAACTGCCATAAGAAGACTCACATAGGAGAAAAATATTCAGACCTCCAACACCAGTGTTACTCAAACCCACAGAAGTCTCACCACACATATATGAAAAATGATTCCAGTTTTATATTATTCCATAATTAACTCAAAATATTTTGACACACCAGCTGTCGTCTAACCGTGAGTCCATTTTGTCCGTTTCACATATAACCAGCTATCAGTATTTCCAGGGTAGTAGCGCTCCTAAAGCTTGTTTGTGTATTATTGTGTATTGATGTAGAGGGTCCCTCTCCCTGGTATAAGGAGCTTGCACACCGAACGTCCCAGTTCACATTTTCTCCACAGATTGACCATCAAGTAGTTGTGCGCTTATCCATTGTTCTATTCTTTTCATAATATCGCAATCATGACATAAGCCCCCCTCCCTATAGCAACAATTGAAAACATCCCCAACATGCATGTGGAGCCTCTGCGTATCATACAGTAATTTCTAATATGGTCAGGGTGTCATATATCCTGGTGCTACAATTGCTGTCCTATAATGTCCTATAATGTGGCCTACAAAGTCCTATAATGTGTCCTACAAAGTCCTATAATGTGTCCTATAATGTTCTATAATGTGGCCTACAAAGTCCTATAATGTGTCCTATAATGTGTCCTATAATGTGTCCTATAATGTCCTACAAAGTGTCCTATAATGTCCTACAAAGTCCTATAATGTCCTATAATGTGTCCTATAATGTGTCCTATAATGTGTCCTATAATGTGTCCTATAATGTCCTATAATGTGTCCTATAATGTGTCCTATAATGTGTCCTATAATGTGTCCTATAATGTGTCCTATAATGTCCTACAATGTCCTATAATGTGTCCTATAATGTCCTATAATGTCCTATAATGTGTCCTATAATGTCCTACAATGTCCTATAATGTGTCCTATAATGTCCTATAATGTCCTATAATGTCCTATAATGTGTCCTA